GGCTCTTTAAATCTTCATGTGGGGTCGAACCCCCAATAGGTGTGTTGGTGGACTAGTTCCACCTGGGATTATGTGTTGATAAATGGGTCCCGTACTGGGTCCTACACACTCCACATCTTCATTTTAAGTTTAATTTGCTATTTTGCAAATTAAATCAAATTTTGTTGTGTTGCGCATGCTTCAAAATTATTTTTTTTTTTACTTTCAAATTATCTTTTAGTAAAACTTTAAAACTCCAATTAAAACAAATAAAGACTTATCCGGTCTACAAATCAACCATTGTTAATTTTAAGTGTTTGCACTAAGATTACAAGGTTTTGACCATATAGCTAACCCTAAAGCTTTCTGTTTTAAAGCTGCTGCAATGGCCTACCCAACACTAACTTTTTCTTACAACCTGCCGACAAGCCACGAAGCCCACAACGTTGCCCCTACCATTAAGTTCAGAGTCGGATTTGAAGACCTTGAGGTTATCCTTGGGAAGGCCCCGTTCATCTAATGAAGGCCACCACTCCAGAAGTTCATGAGCCCTCTACTAAATTCAACCTGAACTATCTTCAGGACTTCCCCTCTCATAAGAAGGCCAAGACAACTACTGCTGTCATGGTACCTACCAAGCCTGTTGTTCCCGCTGCTGCTAAGGTGAAAGAAGTAATGATCATTAATTATCCCACCATCAGTATTTGAAATCGGATCAAGTTCAAGAACTGCACCACTAATCCGAACTCAGAAGAGAAACCGCAACAGAAGGGTTCGAAGGGTTGCTAAAGTTCAGGCTCCTCACCTTATCTTTAGGCCTTTATACAGCTCTCTTGTACAATCTAAGCCCTAACTCGTCTTAGGACTTCAAGGTTGTCATTTGTTACAACCTAAATCTTCACATCTTTCAGGCAATTTGTGTGAGTGTTTCACACAAATACAAACACTAAATAAACAAAATTGGTAGGATTAAACATCTAAATAATTTCTCCTCTAAACTGAAGCCAAACAATAAGAAGACTAAGAAGTCACTGAAGTTCTCCTTCAAATTTGTTACATCCCCTAGTTCTTCTTCCTTTGGATTCTACAACAAAATACTCCAAATTTGAGTCATTCCCCTTTCACACCTCTTTGTCCGATTTCGTTGAAAAATCCTATCCTTTTGACCTCTTTGAAGATGATATTTCCTGATTTTTATTGAGAGTTTTCTTAAGTAACTCAGGTCATTTAAGATGTAATTAACTATAGGGGCTTGCTCTTATAGGAAGCTTGTCCAAACCTAGCTTAATATAAACCCTATTTAATTTTTCATATTAAATGGGGGAAATTGTCGGCAAATAAAATAGTTTTGCAGACCAAACATACGTCATATATTTCTTAGTTTATTTGATCCAGTCTCGTCCTCAAGTGTTGTGTTTATCCTTTGAGATAGATACAGAATTTGAGGTATAGCGCAATTTGAGGTATAGCGCTCTTTCAGCTCTTTCATTTAAACTATAAAAAAATATGGGGTCAGTTTGATTTCATGATTTTCTAAACTACAACGTCCATCCGAAGCGGGCGACGGGATTTCAATTCTGGTGACCGACAGCTTCTTACGGGCAACCACTACTCAACCAAAATAGTGTCGACAGCTGCTGGTGACTCCACTGGGGATTGGCTTCTCTCTCCATTTAAATCAAGAAATATCATCTTCATACACCGGTAATGTGTCCAAGCCCCTCTTGGACCAAATTACCCTTCTTCCGTTGCCATACTTTACCCATTTCTGTCTTGGGAAAGTAAGGTCAACTCTTTGGACTTCAGGATTATCTGTTTAATCACTTTTGGACAGAGGGGTTCAAGAGGCCATTAAGGACTCTTTAAATCTTCATGTGGGGTCCATCCCCTAATAGGTGTGTTGGTGGACTAGTTCCACCTAAGCATTGTGTGTTGATAAATGGGTCCCGCACTGGGTCCTAAACACTCCACATCTTCCTTTTAAGTATTATTTGCTATTTTGTAAATTAAATTAAAGTGTGTTTTGCTGCGTGCGCTTCAAAATTAAATTTTTTTACTTTCAAACTATCTTTTAATAAAACTTTAAAACTCCAACTAAACCGAATAAAGACTTATCCAGTCTACAAATCAACCTTTTTAACTTTCAGTGTTTGCACTAAGATTACAAGGTTTTGGCCATATAGCTAACCCCAATGCTTTTTGTTTTAGAGCTTCTCCAATGGCCTACCCAACGCTGACTTTTTTTGCAACCTGCCGACAAGCCACGAAGCCTACAACGTTGCCCCTACCATTAAGTTTGGAGCCGGATTTGAAGACCTTGAGATTATCCTTGGGAAGGCCCCATTCATCATAATGAAGATCACCGCTCCAGAAGTTCAGGATCCGTCTGCTAAATTCAACCTGAACTGTCTTCAGGACTTCCCCTCTCATAAGAAGGCCAAGACAACTACTGCCGCCATGGCACCTACAAAGCCTGTTGTTCCCGTTGCTGCTAAGAGGAAAGAAGTAATGATCATTGAAGATCCAACTGAGGGATTAACTATCCCGCCATCAGTATTTGAAATCAAATCGAGTTTAAGAACTACACCACTAACCCGAACTCAGAAGAGAAACTGCAGTAGAAGGGTTCGGATGGTTGCTAAAGCCCAGGCTTCTGAGGAGATACCTGTCGAGGAAGAGCATCACCAAGAGGAGTTAGAATTACTGGAAATATATCCACTACTATAAAAAAGAAGGTTCCAATCTTCAATGGACACCCATGGGTACGAAAGTATCCAGAAAATCGCTGTTGTGTTACCATCATTTCATGGACGGGATAGGGAGAGAAAGAAATCTAGTAAATGAACTACTTAAACGAGTGGGGCATGCTATTTCCCCTCATATGAAGAAAGAAATTTTAAGGGAAATCAAGTCTGTCAAACGACCTCAAAAGTCAACTGAAGATCTGTCTGCCCGTACTCACGTCTGGTTCCGCTTAGAGAGCGGAATTGATACAGTTAATGTCACCACAAATTTTACCGCTACCAGGACCACATGTCGTTGACCGATTAAGTCAAGATTGGGTCCAAGAATTCTACCAAATGCATTACAAAGATATTCCTGAAAAGTAAAAGATGAAGAAGTAACCCGATACTGTAGTTGGTTGACAGCGACTTTATATATGCATAAGAATACAAGAATTTGATATTGGTGCTAGAAGATTTAAATCCTCGACAACGGCGCCAAAAATTTGACAGTGGTTATAGTTTTGATAAAGATGTGTATAAAATATTCAATAATTGCAAAGTCACTCTTATCAATGTAAGTATACATATCGCTCAAGTAATACAGGGCTCTAATGGAATCCTGGATATCGATCCCACAGGGAGTAATATTAAAGACTACGAGCTAAGATTTAAAAAATTAAAACTTAATCACAATAATATAGTTCAAATTGCATATTTGTCACTAATAGGAAATTGAAATAAAAATGTAATTTTAATAAACTCTTAATTAACTCATTCTACTAATAAAGTTTCTAATGTGAAGTTCAATATATAAGAAAGCATCATTCTCCTTATCAAGAAATTTAAGTGAATGGATAAAGTGAATCAGTTCAAATTACATTATGTCAAATAGGAGCATACCTATTTTTTACCCTTTGGACCAGGCATAAAGAACATTTACTAAACCTATGCTTGGTTACTGAATCTACGGCTAGGCTGGGAGGATACCGACTCTCACTTTAGAGCTCCCACGTTCCAGTTGCCTGAGGGCTAATATCTACACTTCAGCACCCAAACGATAGGACCGAATTGAGGATTTTAGTCTGTCACTCTAAAATCTTCAATTCTACGCCCGATGATTTTTATTTTCCTATTTATTTGCACCCAACTTTCAAGGACTTTGACCTCCTTAAATCTTGGATGTAATCTTCACTTTAGATGTAAAACTCAACATATTTTAACAAATTAATTAGCCAGATTGAAAGTAAATTAAGATTGAAGTGAAAAGATCATCACAACTTCCTTAACATTCTCATAGCACAACCAATTCAAATAATCTTTTCACAAAATCTCAAGACAAGGAGAGAGACAGAGAAAACTACTCAGAACTCATGGAGAAAATACGACAAAACTTGGAATTTATATATAAAAGCGAATTCATACGAACTTCAATGAGTAAATACCACTTTTCTCTAATTCCTCCTCAAGCAAACTCCTCGAAGTTCCTCTGAATCTCTTCCTTTCTTTACAGCACACAGAATTCTCCTTCGAAGCGGCAAGGAGGAAGAAATCTCTCACTTTCCTTCCACTCTTACAATCTCTCGAAGAATTCCTCACAATACTAACCCTAAATTACACTCTCTACACTCTAATGGGCACCACAAACAACAAAGACTCAGTGGCCAACCCCTTTTTTGGCTTTCAAATGTTTCTCTTAAAGTTGTAGAAGAGTTTTCAAGAGTTGCCTAAGCGTCCCTTCAAAAATCGTCCACATTCAATGCATCTATTGAGAGAACTGACATGCTCGCAGTCGGCGGCCTCGATGGCACCGTCGGAGGTCTTCTAGAATATTTGATTTCTGATCTCTTAGGAAAAACCCGTTGTCGGCGCCGTAGAGCTCACCGTTGGCGCCCAAGTTTAAATCTTCATATTTTAGTCCTTTTTGCTCCAAATTTGCTCCTTTTTGCATCTTTTTTCTCCAATGACCATAATTCAACATATTTGCAACAAAACATAAAAAAATAACTTTCTTTAAAGTGCGATATCATCAAAATCAGTGTAAACTATGTATGAAAATCTCAACATATTTTCCTTTGGTCAGGGCCCGACCGCCTACCCTCCATGGTAGCTACGCCGACTAGGGACCTAGTTGCTGCTGATACCGAGAGGCTGCGAGACGCTCCACTACAAAGAACACAACAAAGAAACGCCAGTCGCCGAAAGTAGAGAGCTTTCATCCGAGGAGAGAAGAGACACCGAGAAGAGGCAGAAAGATTACTCATCCCCATTCCGGAGGGGAACATTTATGACCCAGGCATGAGGGAAACTTCTTTAAGCTTGCCTGCCATAAATGATGAAGCCATGATTGCTACTGAGCCAGAAATACCACAAGCCATAGATGTTCTTTGCTCAGGTTTCCCTACCTGCAACGCCGAAATACCCGTATGAGCTTCAGCCACAGGGGCATTCGTGGAATACCCAGATTGCAATGTTTTGCATCTACAACACTACAGTACCCTAGAGGAGTATGCCTCTATAGACGATGGATCTCAGACTGCCGACTGCCTGATGATGGAGGCATATGTCGCATATGAAAAATATTGATAAGTTTATTCATCAATATCACAAGAAGAACAATGATGTAATATACATTTTTTTTCTATGAAAAATATCAATGTATAATCTTGAGGATATTAAATCTTCAACTTTTTTAATGTTCATCCTCCCACCTTTTTATAAGAGATAAAATTTGAATATGGAGAGGCTTATTTGTCATTGATATTTTGTAGAAGAGTATTTGTGCAGTTTAATTTTTTTTCAGGTATGAAATACTCAATATCATTATATATGTCAAGCTTATGTACAAAAAATAAAAATAAAAAATGTAGATCACTACAGTTGGAGTGCACTTGATACAATAATTCAAGGTGGAATGTATTTTCTTATATTCATGTAAATAAAATCATTATAGTAAAAAATGAAAGGATGTGTTGGCCCCAATAACATAAAATTTAACTTTTTTTTAAGTTAATGAAACAACCAAAATAAGTTGATAGAATCAATAGTTATATTATCTTTCTTGTTGAAGCCTTATAACATTAAATAATCTAAACATAATTGATGATCCAAGCTATAAGTATCTATTATAATTTATTATTTTTAACAAATGGTCATCAAGTATAAAGGTGATGGTGAGGAGGTCCTAAATAAGAGGGCACTTCTAAATTTTCTTTTGCAAAATAATTTTGAAACCCTATATAAGACGTAAGAGTTTATCAAAAGTTTCATGAAGCTTGAGGGAAAACATTAAGGCATTGTAAGCAATCAAAAAAGTAGGAAGCTTTTTCAAATTAAATACAATATCATATTATACTTTAGATTGTGATGTAAATATTTTTTAAGTTATATTTTGATTGAAATAATTAAGGTTTATTCAAATTTTAAGTAATAATACTCTTATCGTTGTCCCGAGCTATAGGCATTAAAGTTTGAGATTGAATTGGTTTTCCACTTCTCCATTGAATCTATCATATCTAGTTTAATGGGTTAGCATTTTGTGCTATTTGACAATCCTAGATTTTAAAATAATTGAAATTAAAATTAAAATTTGTTAACTATTAAATGACCCATTAATATTTGTCTAAATGAAAAGCTTCATCACTAATAGTAAGGCCATGCTCCTCTTCATTATTCATATCAATATAAAAAACATGTATCACATAATTTAAAGTAGAAGAAACGAACTCAAAAACTTAGATGATTTGCTTCCATTAACATTAAATTGTACAAATTTAGTATAGGATATATATGATCATATATAATGAAACGAACTCAAAAACTTGGATGATTTTTAATATTATAAGTTCTTATGCTTTTCAAGTAGGTTTGTATATATGTTAAAAAAATATGAAGTGACCTAAGAAACTACTATAAGGGATACCTCTCCAAAAAAAAAAAATTATTGGATGGCATTTAAATAGACATATCACTAGAGTGATAGATGATTTTAGAAGTATTCATAGACTATGATTTTAAAGTGAATAATGAAGAATGTGGAGTTATATTGGATTTTTCTTTAGCACATAATCTTGTTATTGCTAATACTTTATTTAAAAAAAAAAAATAAGATATTATCATTTATAAGAATATAAGAATAGATCTAATAAAGCACAAGTTGATTATTTTATTATGATAAAATTATATCATTGAGATTATAAAAATTATAAGGTGATTCTATGTGACAAGTTGAGTATCTAACATCGATTAATTGTTTTAGATTTTAAGACGAAGGGTTGGATGATAAAAAATACAATTTGATATTACCATAGAATTAGATGTCGACACTTTAAAAATACAAATAAATTATTTTTATGAGTAAACTTTAAAATCTTAAAACTTGGAATGTTCATGAAAATTCTAATACTATTTAAAATAAAGTGACAAGTACAACTAAGCAAGTTGTAAACTATATGCTTGGAGAATAAAAAGAGAAGCACTTATGAATAAAAAATAACTAGTGGTTGAATAATAATGTGCAAGAAAAAATAAAAAATAAGATTTTTTGTTATAAAAATTAGTTCAGATGTAAAAGCTTGGAGACTTTGGAAAAATATAAGGTGGCCTATAGAATAATTTATGATGCTATGAATTTTACTTTTAAAGATCATCATAATAAATTAGTTACTAAAGAGGGTGAAAGATGTATGAATAAATTAGCAAAGCAAAGAGATAAGAAAAATAAGATTTAGTTCAAGTCAAATGTATTAAGGATGAAAATGAAAAAAAAAAACTTTTCTTAGATTATGATATTAACATGGGTGGGTGAAATATTTTGATAAAATTTTAAATGAATATTGTGAAAATACGATAAATTTTAATGATCTAAATGTTGTAAATAATATTAAAGTATTTTATTTTCATCATGATATTAGTAAAATAGAAGTTGGGAAGCTTTAAAGAAAAAGATGAGTGAAAATGAAATATGGCTTGGTAGTATTCTAACATAAGTGTGGAAATTTTTACGAGATCAAATAATTTATTATTTATTAAAATTTTTAATTTTCTTTTAAAAACTAAAAGATGTCTCATGAGTGGAGGAATCTATTGATTCCTGTTACGAAAAAATATTCCTATTAATTTACATACATATGGGCATGTAAATTATATATGAATTAAGTAATGTGTCGTACATTAAAGCTATATGAGAGAATAACTAAGCATAGATTATGATGTGATACAAAAAAAAGTTCTCAAAATCAGTTTCGATTTATGCCAGACAACTCTATTGTGGAAGCTATACATTTATTGAGAGATAGATAGAAATGTATAGAGAGAAAAAGGAGGATACAACATATGATTTTTGCTGATTTAGAAAAAAAAAACTTATGACAAGATTCTAAAAGAAATACTTTGAAGAGTTACAGAGAAAAATAGAGTTAATATTACTTACATTTAAGTCATTAAAGATATTTGTACTAGAGGTGTTAGTTGTGTTAAAAAATAAGGAGGAATGGCCATGTATTTTTCTAGTTCAGTTGAATCTCATTTGAGATCAAATTTAAGCCCATATCTTTTTGCTTTAGTTATGGAAGTTCTTATTAGACATTTATAAGAGGATGTACCTTGTGTATGCTTTTCATTTATCGTATCCTTCTTATGGATAAGACCAGAGAGATAGAGAGTTCAAAAGAAAAAAAACTTGATTTATGAAGGTCAACTTTAAAATTTAAAGGTTTTCATTTGAATAAATATTAATTTGAATACATGGAATATAATTTTAATAATAGTAGAACTAATGATGATATTGTAATAATTTTTTATCAAGTCATTAAAATGAGTGAATGTTTTAGATTTATTGGGTTTATTATTCAAAGTGATCGTGATATTGATGAGAATGTTATAAATAGAATTCAAGATAGATGGTTGAAGTGAAAGAATACATGAAACCTATTGAATGATAGAAAAGTACAACCTAGAGTTAAAGGACAATTTTAAAAGATGGTGGTAAGACCTACACTGCTTTATGACGTAAAATGTTGGCATGTAAAGACAATTGAAAAAATGCGAAATGATTAAGTGAAAGAGTGGTTCTACAACTTAGAGACAAAATGTGAAATGATTATATTCGTTAAAGGGCTAGAGTAGCTCTTGTAACAAACAAGATTAGAGAGAGTCGCCTTAGATGATTTGGTCACGGTAAACACTAACCATCTAATTACATTGTTAGGAGAGTAGATATTTTAAATTTGACTTGTGTTAAGAAAGTTAGAAGTAGAACTAAAAAGCCTTCGGTGTCTTGAATAAAAATGATCGTAATTTATTTGAATGAAATGAAAATATGACTCTCAAATGACACAATGAAGAAAAATGATTCATATAGTCGACCCCACTTAGTGGGATGAAAACTTGTTGTTGTTGTTTAATATTTTGTAAGTTCTACTTGCTTCATCTAAAATATGAGTGGTATTTGTTTGCTATTGAATTTTAAAAAAGCTGAAAATATTATTTTTTATTAGAAATTTTGAAAATCTTTGAACCTTCATACAGATGCCATAATAATTGTAAACTCACTTTAATACTATGATTTCAGTTCAATTTAATTTTATGAGTGAACAACATTAAAAAAAATAAAATTGAATCGTCTTGAATCATTCAGGTTTGATCTTCAGTTTTAATAATTAAATTGTACGCAACATTTGATTTGTGAACAACCAAATGATTGTGTAACATTCAATTATGTATTATATCACTAAATCAAACTAATGTAGTTTTTTCATAATTATCGAGCTAAGTTTATCAAAAAAAAATTATGGGAGTGAAAGCATAAATTTGTAATTTTTTATTTAAAAAATTAGCTGTGAAAGCATAATTTGAAATTTGTGGAACTTCAAGCTGAGTAGAGAACAGTTGGAATTTCTAGTGGTGAGGGTTCCATGTCTAGTTTTCTAGGAATAGTCAACAGGAAAAGTCCTATGGCTAGACCCTAGGCTACTAAAGAGGAAAAACTAAACCTCAACCAAAATTGAGGTCAACAAATGGACCCCCAATAGGTGTGGTGTGCTGGGCAAGCACGCCACGCGTATTGGCGTTGACCGACGAGATCAACAAAAAAAAACAATACAAACTTCTAAGTCAACAGACCCGGAAGTACGTGTAGAGTTGCGTGTGCGATTTGTTTCTGTCGGGGAATTAGTAGGTGATCGTCTGGTTGAAATCAAAGGGTAGAGACTCTCGCTGGGGATTGGAGAGAGAATTTTAAGTTATGAAATTTTAAAGATTTCCAAAGGATGGGAGTCAAAATTTAAGTGTTGACCCCAAGATGGGAATTGAGATTCAAATATCGACTCAAAAAAAAAGGAGAGTCAGAGTATAAGGACCGATCTCGAATGTAATGAGCCAGAAATGTAGGATTGA